AAAAATAGAATTTTTTAAATATATTATATTCCATAAAGACTTGTTGATAGACCAAAAGAAAATTCAAGCTGTAATGAAGTGGACAACTCTAAAGACAATATGGGATATATAATATTTTTTTGAATTTTTTAATTCCTATCAAATATTTATCAAGAATTATTTCCAATTTTCAACTCTTTTTACTTAATTAACATCCAAAATCAAATTGAAATAGAGGCCTCAAGCACAAAAGTTTCTTTTTACAGTTGAAGGTAGCTTTTACTATAATTCCAATCCTAATACATCTTGATTTCACAAAAGCCTTCTATTTAGAAATTGATACTTCTAACTTTATATTAAAAATTGTACTATCATAGATGGAAAAGAATAGAAAGTTCCATCCAATTACATTTTATTTTCAAAAGTTTTTAGATGTAGAGATTAATTATGAAATTCACAATATAGAACTTTTTGTGATTGTAGATTCTTTTCAAGAATGGCGTCACTTACTAAAAGGTGTTATACATCCTGTGATTCTATATACAAATCACAAAAAATTTAAATATTTTATATCAGCTTGGATTCTTAATTGCGGCTAAGCTCGTTGGAATATGTCATTATCTTGTTTTAATTTTGTGATTACATATTGACTAAAGAAGCAACAAGAACTATCAGATATTTTATTAAAGAGATCATATCTTACTTCAAAAGCTAAAGAAGCAATATTTGATCAACAATATATCACTCTCTTAAAGCCAAAAAAATTTTGTCTTTGTGCTACTTCTATAGTTATACCTATTGATTCAAAAAAATTTGAATAAATTTGTCTAATATTAATTAATAATTAATTAGTTCATAATATTAAATAGTGCCTTGAAAACAATAAGTTCAAGATTGTGGAAGAACTTTGTATTGTGAAGATTGTTTATATATGCTAAAAGGATTGACGTAACTTTGTGTTTTTTAATCTTGTCATAATTTTTCAGTTGCATGACAATTTGGATTTAACAAATTATTAGAGCTTATTTCTTAAAATTTCTAGTGATGTCAAATCTAAAAGATTGTAAAGGACTTTGTTCTCTCATGTGACATCTATTTAAGTTCCAAGAATTCTTAATATTATCTTTATAGACTATTATAACCACTACTAATTTTGAAGTCTCCATGGTCTTTAATATCAATGACTTTCATTAATAATTTGCTGCCCTTAGCTACATTTGATACCATATATATTGTTGTGGATCAACTTACAAAGATGGCATATTTTATCCTATATAAAAAGGTAATTTTTAGAGAAGAAACAATAAGATTCTTTCTTGATAATATTTACATCAATATCATGGCCTATTTAATGATAACATGTCTCATTGAAGACCTAAATTTATATCAAAGTTTTAAAAATCTATTTTCAAGATATTGAAGGTAAATATAAAACTTTCTTTTGTCTTCCACCTTCAAATCAATGATCAAACAGAACAAGTCAATAAAAATTTAGAATAATATTTACAATATATCATCAGCTATTAATAAGATGATTGAATCTTGTATTTAACTTTAGAAAAGTTTGCTTATAATAATATTCTTCATGCTTTAATCCAATAAATACCATTTTATGTTAATTATGATTATCATCTAAAGCTTGATTTGTTAGATACATCAAAGAATAAAAATCTAGCAGCTGAAGATCTTACAAAACAATTGTTACAACTAAAAATAATTTTAAAGTTCCATTCACATACACCTCAAGATTCTTACAAAGTATCTTCAAATAAATTTAGAAAAGAATCTCTTACTTTTGAAATTAAAAATAAAGTATGGCTTCTTTGACAAAATACCAAGTTTAATTGGCCTTGCGATAAGTTGGATTATGAAAGATTGGAGCTATTTTGTATTCAAAAGCAAATTAATCCAATGGCTTATTCATTAAAACTATCCACATGTATGAAGGTATATCTAATCTTTTATATTTTTTTATTAGAAGCTTATTAAAAAGAATATGAGATGGAAAAGATCCTTGATATTGACAAAGAAGAGGCAAATTATAGTTTTATATTCATTGACATAGCTATGATATCAATGAGCATATATAGAAATCAATAAAAAAAAAAAAAAAAAAAAAAAAAAAAAATCTAGTTAATGTATCACAAAAAGTACATGAGTTATATTAATGCTATCATCAAAAATCTAAATCTATTTTAAGATGACTTCTCAATGAAGCTACTATTAGAATGTTGTATATAATAAAGAGAGAAATTATTGCTCACAACAACCTTAGAGTTTAGTATATCTAGTTTATGATCCAATATGTTGAATTGGAGAGTGTTTAAAGAGTTTTTAAATTATGAATCTCAAAATAGAGCCAAAGTTGGAGCTTTTCTTATCATTCCTACTATATCAATTGTTCCAACTCTCGTAACTTTTGCAAGATCATTCTTGAAATGAAATTGGACCTTCTCAAGAGAAGAAACACCTATACTACAATCAACTTAAATAAGAAAATCTTGAAGATGATGCTTGAGATTTACTCATCTTATTGTAAATATAAAATCCATGTTTTTTATCAAACTTGAAGCTAGAAAGAGAGGTAATATTATAAACATCTAAGAATAATATTTTTAAAATATTTTTAAAATATCCTATTAGATTATAAAATATTTCAAAAAAAATTTATAATATTCTAATAGGATGTTCTAAAAATATTTCTAAAATATTCTAAAAGATGCTAAAATATTTTTAAAATATTCTAATAATTTCTAAAAAATTCCTAGAAGATTAAAGAAGTTATTCAAGAAGCTTCTTTGGATTGCTTCATTTTCAAGCAACATAGAAACTTCTCTAGAAGCTTCTTAATATTTAGTATATATTAGAGTCAATACTAAGGAGATTCTCAATCTTGAAAATACATCTCTTAGAACTCTAACTCATCTCTCTTGATGATAATCTTCTACTCATCTAATTTAATTAAGTTCTTATTACAACAAAAAAGTTTCAACAAGTAATTGAACAAAATGACAAAAAGACAAAGATGATTGAATTTATGTTTTTCAAATGGCTAAAAGATTTAGAAAATATAAAAAAATATAAAATAAAATAAAATAAAATAAAAAAATCTTAAAATAGATATTATTTATAAGTTATTATTGATAAAGATGGATAAAGATAAATAGATATATATAAATTAGGTTAGTTAAGATTAATATATAAAATAAAAGTTTCTTGAATTATTATAATTACACCAAAAATTCGAAATTTCTTTCAATAAGGAGATTCAAATTTGGTATTTTTGGATGATATTTTATCCATAAAGTACATGTGATATTTTAAACTATTACTTGATACTTTATCAAATCACCATACAAGGTAGGTGATTTTGAAATCCAAATATAAAAAAATAAAAATATGAATGAAATATCTAAAATTATGATACTTTCCTTAATTTTTTTTATCTTTGATTCTATACCACATCACTCTTTGACTTTTTCAAATCACCAAAATATTAAGTGATATTTTAGAAACTTGAAGATAGTAATAAAATTTGAATAAGAATATTTTGGATTTGATATTTCAATTGACCTTGAAAATATTATTGGTGAAATTCAATTAATTGGTTTTGTAAATACTTTAGGTCTAAATTCCCTTAATATACAAGATTAGTTACTTACTAGTCTCAAAAAAATTAAGATATGAGCTTTTGGATAGCATCCAAAGACTTAATATCTACATTGCAATATCAATATTAATCCTTTTCAACCATGTTGCTAAAGCTTTAATGGGATATGAGCAATTGTTGACTAATAAATGGCTAACAAAGAGGCTGAAGATGAAAATAAAGAGTTAGAAGTTGTGCTTGAGCAAGAGATGTTAAAAAAAAAGAGAAACTTTTTATCCACTACATTATAATCAAGCCCGTTAATATTATAAAGCTTATATATTTCTTAACATATGTTGTATTGGAAGACCTCGAATACAAATTGCATGTCTTTAATTTCTTGCAAACAATGTTAAATGCTTAACAATATTAAATAAATAAAAATTAAGCTTAATGAATCATTCATGAATGGCCTTGGACATAATAGACAAGCTTCTAGTCCAAGTAAGTTTTTAAAATATTGCCATTATTTATTGACTTAGTTATATGTTTGAAATATTTGTTCAATCTACACATAAAATGAAAGATAAGCATATCTTTTTAAAGCTTGATTTTCCTACACTATTAAAATATAAATCATTTATTTATTGATCTGAGTAAATAAACAAAAAACCAAAATATTAAACCATATCTAAGTAAGTTTCTTACTGAAAGAATGGAGTAAAGTAGAGTAAAGTTGGGGGAGGGGGTCGACAAAGAGTGGGCTAGAAAGGCAAACGTCATTACTATATTAGGAGGCACAGCTCCTGGATGAGGTGGCATGTCCCGCCACTTGGAGCCGTTCTTTTGACAGCGTGGGAACAACAAGTTTTGCCGGGAAGTTTGAACTGGGGGACCATAATGCCGGGAAGGCGACTCGTTGCTCCACGACTACAGTGAGGGTTGCGAACCTTCAATCCTTATTTGTATGTGGTACAAAGTGTGTGCGGAAGTCTGAGGTGACTCTTTCCTGTTGTTTTGTAGCGTCAACAAAAGAGTCACCTCAGACTTTTTCGCTACAAAACAACAGGAAAGAGTCTGAGATGACTCTGTTGTTTTGTAGCGAAAAACTGGCGCAGACGTTGGAACTCGTCCTTGTTTACGTTGGCCAACGTGGGAATGAGCTGCATCTGCCATGAATGGATGCCTCCCTGCCTGTCGAAGATGATAGAAACTTCTCCCCGCATTCATCTTTAACCCCCTCCTGACATTGAGGAAGGACCTCATGAATGAATGAATGAAATTCCTACACTGGATGGCAATTTACACATAGGCGAGTTTGAAACTTTCTGATAGTGCAAGTTTGCGTTCTTTGGTATCGTTGACAGGAAATGGTTCGTTAGTGGAGGTCATTGTGCTTTAGGGAGTTAAGCAAGAACTATACGGGGCAACATTGAGAATCCTTCAGAGAATTGTAATTCAAATTACCGCAAATTGTGCATACAGTAAGAAAGAAAAAAAAACTTCAGAGCCATGTCACGCACCTCTGGGATGACATTGTACAAATGTTTCTAAGCCCCAACATTAGCAGTTGGTCTACGGCTTGCCATATGTTACACTAAGCAGTTGGGAAGCATTAGGGCAGGCTGAGAGGTACTGTTTTCTACTCTATCCGATGCTGAAAATTTTACACTCAACTCAGTCCACCCAGCTAATTGCGAGACATCAGGCTCTGGCTTGATTGGTCACGCATCCTCGTTGTATGTATGACATTTATCGTTCTAGGAGGAGGAGTAGATTTACACAGGCCTTCCTCGTCAGAATCGAATGAGAACCAGTAAAAATGGTTCTCAAGGCTTCTATAATGAGTGTAGGGGCTAACGATTACTCTCCGTCCGCATCATCCTCGAGTTTTCATGATAGTGATGGAACCCTTGCCCTCAGTGTGAAGCTTGATGCACTCTACCACAGCTTTGCCCGAGAGTCCCGATCCGGAATGGGCCGGAGACTTTTGGATGTCCCTTGCAGATTGACGACGCGTAGGCCTTGGAGATGGACTCTTAATTCGCTGATTTATGTCGTTCAACGTCACGTCCCCATGGGCACTGTATGGTTTTACCAAATTAAATGGGTATGCAACGGGCGTAGCTTTGACTCGAAACCTCGTAAGTGGGCTGGGTCTCCACCCTGAAAAACATGGATTTGCCGTTCTCAGAAATATCATAAAACAAGGTAACACTACAGCTTTTGACAAACTACTGCGACGATTACAGCGTGTAGAGAGAGAAAGAAAGAAAGCAAGAGAGGTGAAGAGAGAAAGAACGAGAGACATACCAGGAGTAGAACCCTTGGAAAACGGCGTCAAAGGCCCTTGCAAAACCTCGCCCTCAGATGAGGGTGATGAGACTATGGATGCTCCTGGTGCCTCACCATGCTTGGCGCTTCGCACTTTAGGTTTCCTGAAACACATGAGAGGTCACCCTCCGCATTAAGTACCTTGATTCTATCACATAGCTGAGAGGTGGATCAGTAGTGGTATCTACTCCAGAGTGGGACTGTCAACTGCTGATGTATGGAATTGCAGCAGAGCAAGCAGGGGGCATCCAGAGATTGCAGGTCCTTACGGCTTATCAGATGAACAGTGGGTCTCTGTGTTCTCTGAGCATTTATCATCAAAAACTTGGCCAGTTTCTTCTGGAATTGAATTATCAGCTGATGTATCATCTTTGGAGAACCATATACTGTTCGGCGACGAGGGGGCCGGGTTCAGAAACTCATCAGTCCCGGAACCTAAAGAACCCACACAGCTCTGAAAAGCATACAAGCGGTCAGAGGTCGTAGGCAACACTCCGACTACTGAAGAACGCTCAAGAGAGGGATGTGGAGACAACGAGGGCAAGGATAGAACACCAATGTACCATGAAAGGTGAGTCGTTGGTAGAACCGGAATCGAACGCTGGTGAGGAAGCAGGCACACACTCATCACCAGTTACAGAGAAATGCAGCATTCGGCGCCTCTTAATTCGTCCGCAGTTCTCAGCAGCATAATCGCTAGGACCAATACTGTCACCCTCTGTTGAAGCGAAGAAAATTCTAATCAGTTCAAATGCCGATTGACCCCGTGCATACGTGTTTCATGACAAAGGTTCACAGTGGAAAGAGCTACGCTTGTTCGGCTAAAAATAGGTCGAAGACTATCTTAATGCGAGAAATACATGAAGACACCCCAGGCAGTGCCCATTGTGCAAGAGACTGGTCGATACCTTGGCTACAGTCAGCGATGTGCGAGGGACTTGACTCCCTTTCATTCACAATTGGGGGAGTTGAGGCAAATAGCTCTTCGTCATTTTGAGTCAAATCATCCCAGAAGGACTTGGCGACTTCTGCAACATTGTCAAAGAATAAACTAGACTCAGAAAATGTGCAGTCATCCCAAGGGTAGGTGTAGTGCAACCCAAACATGCCACGATTTAAAAATTTCAGCGTAGTTTTCAAGCTTATCGTCGACAGGTCAAAAGCCAAGGCCGGCGAAAAAGAACTTAAGCACTCAGAGTCAAAGCGTGCTACCTATATATGATTCGGAGTCCAACTTGAATGCGTCTTCTCGCCATAACCAAGAATCAGGGTTATCGCCCACAATTATTTGATTGTCGACTACCGCCAGCTCCTCAAACGCAGCAATCTCCATAGCTTAATTCTTGAGAAGCAACTTCGAAGTCTGGGATTCGGCAAGACAGAACTAACAACCGGAAAAGGATCCACGCTTACGCGAAGTTATCCTGTACGGCCTGTGAGACAATCGATTATAACGTTAGATTGCGGACATACAGGAAACACAACGCAGAGAACTCATGCAGAACGAACAGGAGGACAAATATGGGAGGCGAGACCCCAAAGACAGCTATCCGTCGCAACTCAATTGCGTTAAGGCAAGTCATAGGCAACTCGTGGATTGTCTCTTCGACGTTCGTAGGCACACCAAGAGACAGAGGGAGAACTGGAGACATGATGCAAGGAAAAGACACCCACGACCACCGAAGCATCAATCTCTACAAAGCAGTAGCGGAGTTCTCTGTACAGAATAGTACTTGCAGGATTACAAACCGCCTGGAGACACAAGAGGAGAAAATGTGGTCTTCACGATGACCCGTGAGAATCAGCGTTTCTCAAGATTGTACTGCTCTGGAAAGACCTACGCTCCCGCTCAGGGGCTCACACTACATAATTACGCAACCTCTAGGCAAACAGGGTGCAAAACCGTGGGTTCCTGTGAAAATGTTTGTTGCCAATGGCAAGGACATCAAGAAGTTAGACAAGAAGCAAGAATCTGAGCACTTCAACGCCCATTCCAAGGAAGTGGGAAACAATAGTCAAGTCATATCCTCGTTCCTGTAGAATGAATAGCAGACATCGACAGATGCCTTTCTAATCTGGCAAGAACAAGGGGGAAGAATTACTCTCCAAGACAACCTATGAAGGATTCAATCCAAGATACTTCTCAAGAACAGGACTTCGTGACAAAAAGGTCGAGGAATACCACAGTGAAGTACAAACTAATCGACAACAGATGCATCAGGACTCACTCAGGTCGAGTTCAAAAGCACGACACAACAACCAAACCATTGTCTGGTAATCAATTAACGCAAAGAAAAAAGAAAAAAGGAGGGGACGTTCCCCCACGCGCGCTCCTCAAGGGAGCCACAGTATTCACAAGACAAGTAGAATGCTCGAGAGAGAACAGGAATCGATGCTCTGGAGAACACGACTCCCTAATCAGCTACTCTTCGTTCGCTCGGAGACGAAATCATCCAACCCCGGCACAAAACAGAAGATACTCCTTACACCGAGCTAAAACAACTTTCACCACGAACACGATCTCTCTCCGCTTTGACACGCGCGCGCGCTGCTGCAAGCTACACATAACCCCTCTGACTTCTAAGAAGATCCAGAGCGGCACCAACATCCGACCTGCACGGGTTGCGCCACCTTCAAACCAGCACCATTGCAACAAACTCCCAATGCGCCACCTCTCGAACTCGGCCCAAGCTCCGCCTCCCACTCTCGGAGTCCCAACGCCCAGAGACAGTTGTTCTACCACGCACGTACTTCCAGCACATCCTACACTTGCGACCGCTGGGCCAACAGTCGCGACGTCAAACCAAGCACTCGGCAACTCCATACAATCGGGTCTCCCCGCTATATCCCCCTCGGGAACACGGGATGGAGAGCTAAACAGGGCAGCTCCGACCCGTTGATGGTTCATCCAGCAACAAGAACGAAATGCATCGGTAAATAGACGACGACAACAATCGGGGTTGCGATGCCATGGAGCTAGTTTTCGCAAAAACAAAGAGAAGCTCGCTCGCTGTGGCCACGTTCCCTAGTTCAGTGCACATTCAAAGCAACGAGAAAGATGAAGACAGGGACAGATCACGGGCCAGGCGGGGTGTCGAACACGAATGCGAAACCCGGTGCGCACCCCTGGCACTGGCCCGCCACGTCATCGGGGATCCCATTCCCGCGCTTTCCTGTTATCCAGTCCACCACTGGAAAACGAACTCCCGCGGTAAAGCTCCTCTGCTTTATTATTTTCCCCACTTGGCTCCCGCCATAATCTGCCTCTTTCCCACGCTCCGATCGGCCCCGAATGGGTCCACATCGGGGTCCATTCACCGCATTCAATAACAAGGCCCTTTTCCGGCAAAACTAATAGCCACTCTTCCCGGCAACAGCTAGTGACGACAATGCCTGCCATTGTGGCAGGTAACTGTTACCCATACTGCTGTGTCTACCTCCAATTAGGGGGTTCTACTAAAAGCTGAGATGGGCTTCGCTGGATATATTGCTGGTAGTAGCCCACTTAGGCTCCCTAGGCCTCCGTGCTCATTCATTCATTCGTTCTTGTTGGGTCCGTTGGCCGGCTTTCTGTGTGTAGCGGAACAACGGTAAGGAGCTATTCTGGCTGTATTGTATTGTTTATCTCTTTATTGAAACGATCATATTCCCACTGAATGAATGAATTCCACAGCGGCACTGAACGTGGTAGGAAATGGGTCTTCGCCCCCCCACCCTAATTTAATACTGAGCTCTCTGCCACGTCACCTTTATGTGCGCTGCGAACACTTAATCCCGCCCTTCACGAGCTTCTTCATCCATCCATCCATCCATGCATGCATACATACATACATACATACATACATCATATATATATCCACTCATCCATCCATACAAACCCACGTCAGCAAATTCCCAGGCCTCCAAACCCTATAAACTGAAGGCTTGTTATTACCCCAAGAACAGTTGCAAATCAGTTAATCCATAATGGCTCAATAACAAATAAAAAAAAACAACAACAACAACAACAACTTAAAAGCCTGGATTAGGGCTCTGTCACCCAAATCATTTGTGAGACCAAAATGATTGATGAGAGGAAACTCTTCCCAATTAGAAACAACCTATAATATGGGTTTTCTTCTATGATCATGTGCCCCAGGTGGGGGGTGGGGTTTATTGCACAATGGAAGGTCCACAAACACACACACAGAGAGAGCATGTTGTGCTGTGGAACAGGCATGCTGAAATGAGGAGGGAGAGCAGTTCTATAGTGGAATACGTCACTTACTTATCACCATGTGGGTGTGGGGCTATCAGAGCTCTGACTACTACCTGAGCCAAAACATAATGGGGCACTAAGGATATGAGAGCCTATGTTTTTTGTAGTTATCTTAGAGAGGTGAAGTGGACATGCTAAATCAATAATCCCATGCCCGTTGACCCAAAATCATTTTTAGGGTTCCTGATACTACTATCACACTACAATACTACTTTTCCATGCTAAAGTAGGGGAGTAGCATGTATGGTATTAATCAGGGTCCTTTTTGTGACAACTCAGTTTGGTGTGTCTCTCACACACAAACTCACACACTCACACACACACTTGCACACATGCACACTTGAATTCTCAATAAATTCAATATCAATGAAGTTATGAGTTGAATGATATTGTTGATTTTGAATAGATATATATTTATATTTTTTTTCTCTCACTGAGGATTTAATATTTTATTTTATGTTAGTTTTTTATGACAGTTTCTTATTTTTATTTTTAACATTGGATGTTTGGACATCTGGTTTAATTTGCAACCATTGTCATATGATTTGTGGAGAATACAGTTCATATGTTGCATGCAATTGGAAGTTCATGCAGTTTTTTCACATTAAAAAAAGATTTCAATCTATTTTTACCAAATCCACTTCCTATTCTTGGTAGATTTGGAAATTTTATGCTTAGAGGAATATAGTAGGGTTAGCTTGGTTGGTTTTGTTCATATGAATTCCATGTTCGTTTCATTTAAAGCTTAAAATATCTCGTGAAGCAAATAAATCGTTTTAAGATTCAATCAAAATTCTTTATACTTCATAACCCAAACCCTAAAAAATGAAATGTGAAACTTTAAATTTTAAATGAAATGTGAAACTTTAAATGTATACACAACCTTGTGAAAATTAAATTACTTGACAAAGGAGATTGGAAGGTGAACATAACACAAGTGACAAACCTGATCCATGCTGTAAAGATCCAACTATATTTCATTATATATGTTTGAAAAACTGATGTTTCAATCTTTGTACCAAAAAGCACTATTCTAAAAATGTAATATTTATTTTCTTTTTCTATGTTTTTAATTATTTTGTGTGTGTTTCAATCGTTTTTCTTAAACACTTAAATATTTATTTTTTATGCATTATCTTTTTGTAATTTTCATGTCATGCATTTTGTAAGCATGCACCATTATTTTGCTCCAATCAAGGTAGATGTGTTTTTCAGTTGTTTTGTAAATCAACTTCTAATTCTTATAATTCATGACTTTTGTTACTTTGCCTCTTCTACTTACTTATTTATATTTAATCATTTATTTCATATCTCATTTACTTATCACATTGAAAAACTTAATTAATATGTATATTATTTTATGTTTAGATTATAAAAATTTTAAATTATATTCTCTTGCTGACAAAAAAAAAAACAAATAACAAAAAACAAAAAAAAAGTTTAAATTAAATTAAAGATTGAGATTTTGAGTACTGCATTGTGCACATATATTTCCACCAGCTAGTATTCGAAATCCTCGTCAATGCTTGCAACGCCTTAGAATTATGGAGGATTAGTTTTTTGGTAGCTCTACTTAAAAATAAATCAGCTTAAAATCTTCCAAGTAAGCTGAATCTAAAACAATGAATTTTAGTTGTATATGATGTCTTGAATTATTAATAAGTATTTTTTCTTTTATAATAAATGAAGGACACCTTCAAATTTGGCATCATATCCACCATGTGGTAATTTTTTCCAACATTGTATTTTTACCCATTGTAAAGGTTCATAATGGTTTCTGCAATAATATTCAGTCGTTACATAAGCAGAGGAGGCAAGCTTTTAAAACTTGAATGTTTTCAGGGAATTTTTCTTCAGTAAGTACTTTACAAAAAATATCACAAAATGGTGTGTTCTGTTTCTATACCTTGCCAATAGTGTCTCCTTGAAGCAAAAAATTATTTTGTCATCTTTATTATTTAGTATAAATAATAAGTGATTTCAATTATTTATTGACTGATTTCAGTTTCGCAAAAACATAAAATAGATATATGTAGATTCAAAAAAATTTCGTTATATAGATTTAAAATATAATTATTGGTAATTTTTTTAATTTAGAAAAAAATTAACTAATATTACCAAAGTATTCTCTTTATTGTTTTAAACATTTAGCTTACATATTTATTATTTACATTCTTTAACCCTAATCCTAATTTTTAAATTCTATTTTAAATCTAAATTATGATACATTAAAAAATATATATATTATTAAATCTAAATGCACTATATATATATATATATATATATATATATATATCACAAAATTAGGTGTTTTAATTGATTACATTTTTCCTGTCTGATTTTGGACTAACAATAAATATGGAATGAGTGATTTAAATTTTATGGAATATAAGTAGAAATTATCTCAAAATATATAGTTGTTTATTTTAGAATTCATAACCCCACAGTGTTTTGTAAAATTTCACTTTTAGTTTTACTTAGAATCAAATAGTATTTTTTTATCAAATTCATCAATTTCAACTTTCAATAAAATTCAAGTGTTTCTTGAGCATTATTTTCAGTTATAATTTTGATAGTTTTAGCCACTTCTATAAACCAAAAGCCTGAAAATGTTAATAACATAATTGTGGTTTGTAAACTTTTATTCCATTCTGCTTAAATATTATATATGTAATTTTCAGTATTTCATGGAAAATTAATTGAACCAATCATATGGTACTATGTATTATGTACTTTCAAAAGTAATGTGCAAGCTAAAATAAAAACATCTATCCTGATTTAGTATTATTAAATATATATATATAGATATATATATATATATATATATGGTAAATCATAAAACATGTGAATAACTTTTTCATAATATATATACCTTTAAAGCCCCAGAAAACGTAATTCCATATATTTTTGTAAATAAGTCCTATCTGTTATTTAAGAGCATTTTATTTCTTATTTTTTTGTCGTAAATTAAAGTATCATAACAATAGATAAAAATACCCTTGAATTGGCATCAAATGTGCTAAATTATTTAAGCGATTTGATTGTAAGGTATTCCTATTGTACGTAAAATCCATTATAAAACTTATAATTAAAACTAAAAAAACAAAGTAATATTATTATTAAGTATTTTGTAAAATGCCATAACATTAATATAGAAAACATCCTAAAAATGAAATTTAATTATTTTGATGATTTAATTGTCTAATTGTATACTTATTTTTGGTTTATTGTGTTTATTTGTGCTTATTAAGGGTGACTAAATATCATAGTATGAATGTAGTAATACATATATATATATATATATATATATATATATATATATGTCAAGGACAAAGACTCGATG